TTAATAATAAAAAGAATATAAAAAAAAGTTATAGTTTAGTAACATCATTTAGGAATAGTTTAAGTTAATGACAATTTAATCTCATCAAATATTTAAGATCAAATTTCAGGCGTTTCTGATCTAAAGGTGTTGACATTTCATATTTTAAAATAAATAATAAAAAATAAACTCACCAACTTAATGCATAACAAAATTAAAAGTGAAGAAAAGAATTCTAAAAAAATTATCAAACAGCAGCGGTCGCCATAACAACGCATGCGCACTGTTTACTATTACTCTTGTGTGATTGTATATTGAAAAGTGTGATGACGTCCAAATAAGGTGCGCACGCCATCAAACCAAAACCAACACCGAATGGGTAAAAAAAAAAAGAAACGTTATAAACGTTAAAAATGGTAATAAGGGAATAATTTCTTTATTAAAGAATTTAGTCATTTTTTTCCGATTTGAAAAGCTGGATAGGAAATACTAATGCAAATATTTCATTAATGCTTGTTCTCATCATAATTTGTTTAACATATTGTTATTGTTAAAATACTATATTTATTTTTCTATTTCATTGGCAGTACTTCAAGTAATTTTATAAAGGCGACCGAAAGATTAAATAAATTATGAGTTATAGGTTGGATCTAAATATAATCTGAGGTTTAAAGACTCATCACTGGTTTATTAAAAATACTAATTCATGGAACCCCAGGGTTCCACGGAACACCATTTGGGAACTGCTGCTTTACATATCAAAAAGTAAATAACATTTATGTTAATTTCAGCATACTAAAACGTTGCTATCGTTCCAGCAAAGATTTATTTACATTTCTGCACTTTAATGGTTACCTAATATATTAATTCCTAGTTAAATTGGTCCCGCAGTGGACTGATCGTTAAGACACGGTTCCCAGCAGATCACCGAAGTAAAGCATTACTGGCTACGGTCAGTGTGCGGGTGGATGGCCACTTGGATTAGTCTGCGTAGGGACCGAGGATGTGCGGTATTGGTCCTCGTTAAACTGTTCTACCGTAAAGTGCTCGACTTCGCGTGCAGGTTGTCGGGCTACCGAAGCGAGGGGTGCCATCCTCTCTGCAGAGGATCAAAATTGTGATGGCATGTCTTCGGATCATCCTCAGGAATGTTTCCCAGACCGTCGCCAATAGCCCATTGTGCAGCTCAAGTGCGACGTAAGTTAACAACAACAACTAGTTAAATTGAATCAAATATAATTTTTAAGAGATAATTTATTTTTTTAAAATTTATATTTATTTATTTTTTTAAGCCTGGAAGGTTTCTCTAAGCGTAAGATCTATACAGTATTATTAATTCCTAATTAAATAGAATGAAATATGTTCTTTTAAAAAGCGCCTTCCACAAAATATAAGATTATAATTATATACTCATTCTACCTAATTTAAGTATTATAATAGAGCTAGGTTATAATTCATTTCTTTATCTCTCTTTAACTGCGAAAGAAACTTATGATTTGATTCAGGTGAAGTTTAAAGGCCGATTTATGGTATTTATTAGTGTAAGAAATTATGTTACATATCGCTCGAAAACATCGATATTTTACGATATATGGTGATATTTTTTTAAATTGATTAGTTTTCAAAATGTTTAGATTGCCGATATTTTCGTTCCTCAAATAACATTTATCACTCACGATGATATCGTAACACTATGATAATTATCTTCGCAAATATCATAGTATGCGCCATGGTGACTCAGGGGATAGAGCGTTCGCCTTCCAATGAGGTGAACCGGGTTCGTATCCCAGCCATGGCATGGCTGGTCNTACGCAGACTGATCCAAGTGGTCACCCACCCGCACACTGACCGTAGCCAGTGATGCTTGACTTCGGTGATCTGCTGGGAACCGTGTCTTAACGATCAGTCCACTGCGGGACAGGTGAAGTTTAAAGGCCGATTTATGGTATTTATTAGTGTAAGAAATTATGTTACATATCGCTCGAAAACATCGATATTTTACGATATATGGTGTTTTTTTTTTTAAATTGATTAGTTTTCAAAATGTTTAGATTGGCCGATATTTTCGTTCCTCAAATAAAATTTATCACTCACGATGATATCGTAACACTATGATAATTATCTTTGCAAATATCATAGTATGCGCCATGGTGACTCCGGGGATAGAGCGTTCGCCTTCCAATGAGGTGAACCGGGTTCGTGTCCCAGCCATGGCTGGACGCCGGCTCTCACCGATCACATTGTTGAGGTAAATATCCTCAGTGGTAGACGGATCATGGGTTAGAGTCCCCTTACTATCTGGCTAACCGTGGGTAACTTTCGTGGTTTTCCTCTCGTAACGCAAATGCAACCCGCATTTGCGTTACGAGTTCCATCAAAAATGTCTTCCAAGAAGGCAAATTTCTCCTAATACTTAATCCAGGAGTTCCCTTGTCTTCTGGATTGGGCTAAGGCTACGGAGTTGAATATTAGCAGTCGTAACCCNAACCCCCCCCCCCCCCAAAATAAAATAAAATAATAATAAATAAATTGGGTCTGCTGTTCAACGACTGTTATGATATTAAATAAAATAACACATCATGGTATTTTACATTTATCATTGTAGATAATGATCCTGATATTGTCGTTTTCGATAAGTAAAGCAAAATTAGAGTTGCGCTAATTATCACATACATTTGATATTTATCATAAAACAGTGTATTCACTATATATCATGAGAATATAGTCAAAAATATAATATTTGGGAAATTTAAAAATATCGATACTTCTCACAATATTGGCCAGTTTTAGCATTTATATATCCAACTAAGCAAATTTACGCTATTTGAATTTTAAATTATTTCCGATATATGATCTGTAATTACCTCATTGATTTACTGATGACATGGCGAAAAAAATGAAACTATGTTAAATAGCAAATACAAAATGAAAGAATATTTATTTCAAGCAATAAATTATTGATTTTGTTTGATAATTTGCATAAATTAAAACACATTGTGATTGTTTTGTTGAGATTTGATTGAAACTTATAATAGCTGCGTCGTATACTTTTTTGTTCCATGATACTAGACATAAATCTGATTCGTGCGAATTTTATTCTTTTACAAGGTATTTCGTAATTACCGCCTTTAAGTTATATTTTTAGATTGTCAAAGTTGAATTGGAGAAAAAAAGTAATAAGTTTCAAATTATTATTAGAGCGAGGAAAAAAATTGTTATAAAATTTAATGAATCACTATTGAGGAAGGCAGGACTGAAAATTTAAAAAAAAAACATGTTTCGTTGTTGGAGAAAATAGGGAAGAGTTAAAAAGTGATTATAAGAAACATCACTGAGTTTTATCAACACAATTTCTATAATCTTGGTCTATTTTATAAGAACTAAAATTATTAGAAAGTTTTATAAGACCTGGTTTTTAACGTTTTCTCTTTTTTCCCCCTACCTATGAGCTTATTAATATTGCTTCAGCTTATTAATATTATTAATATTGCTTATTATAATTTGAATGATAAAGTAGTAATTTAGTTTTAAGAATAAATATTTTGTAATATGAGATAACTATTTTTGAAGAGTAAATTATTTATTTTTTGGAAGTATGTCAGTAACAGGTATTGAAATAATTAAAAAGTGTTGTTTTCTTTTCTCCTACTGAAAGTTTTATTAATAGACTTGAATTAATGAAACTACTTTTTACCCAAATAAACATACAGGTGTTGAAAAAAAGCAAAGTACATAATTAAGAGCATACTTCACATCGACCAGCCGTTGCTGTGATTCGAGCCCGGTTTGCTTCATTGGGAGCCGAGCACTTTTCATCTGAGCTAGCGCGTCCCTTGTAGATCAGCTTTTAAAGAAATTTCGAAATCTTATAAATCTGATGCATAATCTTTTCATTTACTTTTTTTGTTTAGGAGAAAGTTGAGCACATTTTAGCTCCCTCTTCTTTTTGTTGCATATGGCGCCCTTTGCTGAGGCTTCTTTCGTCCTTGTCTACTTGCATCCTTAATCCACTGAGATCTTCCGAATAACAATACTTGGTACATTGATAAATGTTGTATGACTATAAATTTTTTTATTTTTTCACTGAAGTCACTTGTATCCTTCATATTCAGCATTTTTTCAATTATTGTGCACAAACGAAGTTGCCACTTAATCACGAGTCAATCTTTTCATAAATCAAATTGATTTAAACCTTATTATTATTTATCAATCTATCAAAGTAATAAAACAATTTTTATGCATAATTAAGAAAAATCATGAGTTTTTTTAAAATCTATTTTCCAAGAAATTAAAACTAAATCTTTTGTAGATACTATAATATCTTTGAACAAAAATTTAAATGAAAAAAAATGCATCAGAAATATGTCGTAGTATTAATTATTAGCATGTTGCCCCTGAAGAAAATTGTGAGAAAAATTCCAATATTAGTATTCCTAAACTTTTACATTTACATTCAAAAGCCACATAAGTGATAAATTTATAAAGAAAAAAATTTAATTAACTAAACAAGGCAAACGTGCCAAATTCTTATGAAAAGAACGAAAGCAAAACTTCGTTTGATATACTGGTGATTTTTTCATAAATGTTGTTAAAAGGAATTAAAAACGCGAAAGGCTTAGGATCACAATTTTAAATTTTATTTTAAACCGAATTAATAAATGAAAATAGTTATTAGTGAATTAAATCTAACAAATAATTATTTGTTAAAATATAAAAAAAGTTTTAATGTTAGTTATTATTATATATAACGAAGTCAAATATTTTGAAGTTAGATGAACTCCTGTGAATTTTATCAACTATTTAATCAAAGTTAAAACAAATGAACCTGAAAATTAATACAATAGGTAATTGTTTGCTTCTCCTCTATTTCTGTTCAACAAACTTTAAAATTTATATATTAAAAAAATTTTTTAATAGTAGGAATAAAAAAAAGAAAACAAATTTATTATCAATTTTTTAAAATTTATAAACAGACATAATTTAAAACAACTCAAGATAGCGATTGTGAAGCTGTGAAGAAGACATTTGATATTTATTACTTTTCCGAATATCGTGTTCCATAAATAGACGAGAAGGATGAGAGTTCTTGGCGTATAGTTTTGAATTTGGAAATGAAAGTTTCGCCAATCATAGCAACCCTTTTAAGTAAAGAAAAACAATAACAGACATTACCCTTTCTCCTCTTCTCCCAACCTCACCTGTCTGTGAGTAGCGCTGGTTGTTGTTGGGAGAAGGAATCGACCAATAGTGTTGTTGGTAATAGCCATAGAAATTATCTTGCTGTTATTTATTCCCACTTATTTGAATTTCACATCGTTATCACTCCATAATAGAAAGATGGTGTTCATCTCTACTTCCGGTAGAGTTACGCCTGGTTGAAGTGGCAGATTTATGAAGTTTAAAAAACTGATTCGTGCTAATATTTATTCAAAAGTAGATCTGTTAACGCGTGTTTAACGGATAATAAATACTTTTTTTCAAATTAATGTATTATAATTAAATATATCTACCATAATGATAATGCTTTGTTTTTTTTCATGTATAAGGACCAAATGAAGAAAATACACGTGAGTAACAGAATAATGATCTAATATATTTAATTTAAATGAATTTCTTGTATATAAATTTTTTTTTCTGAATGGAATCATTTAATTTTTATATATTTCGTGATAATTTTTGGTGTGTCTAAATTTAATAAATTTTATATGCGAATGTGAAAAGCTCTCTGTGTGAAAGATTTTTAAGTTTTATTATTTAAGTTAAGATTTTTAAATCAATATATATTAAGTCTCTCTCTCTCTCTGTATATGATGTCTATAAGGTTAAGGTTTTTAAGTTTATAAGTCTTGTTTACACTTATGATTTATCGATTTTTAAAAAAAAAATATGATTGGTTGAAACTAATAGACATGTTGATAATATTCCCTTGATAATACTTGCTAAATATGAATTGTAGTCAAAAGAAACATTTGTAGTTTATATACCTATTAAAAAAGCATGTGATCAAAGATGAGATGTTTCATTAAGATGTTAAGATAGATCTTAATTATTTCTCTGTGTATAAAGATCAATCAATTAGTCTTAAATTTGTGAATAATATTTTTGAATTTAAATGCATATAAAATTTCATGCATTTGACTTTCTGTTATAAACATAGCATTATAATATAAATAACTGATTTTATTAATATTTTTTTGTATTTGTAAATTTTTTTTTTTACTTTAAAAAAAGTAGCATTTTTATTAGGTAATTATTTACCAAGCATTTGTTATTAACAGGTTTTGGAAAAATTCTCTTAAAAATGAATTTTTAAAAGGACACTATTTTGCAGAAGAGATCTTGGCCAATTCTCTTTTGTTTACATTTGTATTTTAAAGTATATAAGAAAACTGAGTTTAGGTAAACCTAAAATAAATCATAAAGCTACAACAGATGCTGAAAATTTTCTTTCAAAATATCACTAAAATTATAACTCGATTATGCAGTGGAGAAAGGAAGTTATCCTGCAATAATTTGCTTGCATTTTTATAATTTGAAAGCATTTTTTTCAGTTTATAATCCTCATGATTTATACAAAGTTTAACCGATATATATATTCTATATTTTAAATTTTAACACACTGATGGAAATGAAAAAGAATTTGCCAGGAAAAGTTTCTCCCACGATATAACATCTTCTCAAGATATTAATTGTACCTTTTACAATTTGTACTTCTAAAAGTAAAGAATTTGGTATTTTTCAAAATTGCTTAAATTAATTTTAAAAAAAAGTTATAAAATTTATTATGCTAAAGTTATCTGAGCCCCAATGGCTCAGTGGTTAAGGCAATGAACTGTCATTGTAAAGAACAAGAGTTCGATCCCCGGTGGTGGCTTGAAGCTCAACCAGCTTCAGATCAATGGCTACTAGCTTGTCTGGGAAGTAAGTTGTGTAAACATAAACAGGCTAGGATTAAAGATTATTTGATATTTTAAATTTATTTCTAGGCATTATAACCATTTAAGATGTAGTGTGAGTTCCACTATTATCTAGGTGTCTAGTTTCATTCTAAATAATATTTTTTTTCCTTTTCAGATTCATTAGACCAAGCATTTTTGAAGCTATAGTTCTTTATATCAACTCTACTCTAGTATTTTAGTATGTCCTTTCAGTTGTTATTGTTGGCAAAGCTTGGAAGCAATATAGATCTCGCATTTCTGTTTTGATAGGAACTTACTATTATTCGTAAGATTTTCTATTTATTCTTTGTGTACAATAAGTATTGTGGCACCATGTTAAATTTAACTTAGGGAAGATTTCTGCATTGTGATCTGCAGCAGGTAATCACTCAAGTCTTGGCAACTTCCGTGCAGCGACTGGTTGGAAACTAAAAAGCAGAAAACATAGCAGAAAATAACCAACTCTAAGGGTATAACTCGTTTCCCCCTCAGACAAACCTCTACATATTTTTTAAAAGAAAATTCTAAGTTAAAGACTCATTTGGAGCCTTGGTGGTTGCAGTTAGTGCAACAGATCACGATGCAGAAGTATCCCCTTAACTTTTTTAATCATAATAACTATATTCATAAATGGTTCAAATATTTGATATTTGTGTTAAACTCACTAAGTATTAAATTAAAGTTCTCTTGGAATCCGATAAACGAAAGGGTATATTTTCAGGGGTCTGTCCAGGCCGAATTTACTACCGTTTAGCGGTACCTTCACAAATTAAATTTTAGGAAAAACGGTAGTTTCACAAATTCTACTTAAGGAAGAACGGTAGTTTCACAAAATACTTTTTCGTAAAATTTTATTTTTATATCCCTTAAGAAACGATAAATTATATTTTTACCATGTTTTTGTGTTGATTTTTTTATATAATTTTTAATTTTTCACAAATTATGTCTAAATTTTCACAAGATAGGTACCTCTCAGAAAAACCTAGACAGACCCCTGATTTCGTTGTACCTAAAAATAAGTCTAAACAAGGCAAATGAAGCACAAAAATAAACATGCTATAGCTTTGGTCTATGATCAAGAACTATCCTCAATGTTGAGAACATTAAATGTTTGTGATTTTATTAGTGCTTTGTTCATTTTTATTTAAATGAATGTTGCAAAAGTTTTTATTCAGTAGTATCTAAAACTGATTTTAAGAACAAAATTAGATTTATATTGCGCAGTACAAACTTAACAAACAGGACAAACTTAATTATATATTTTAATTTAAAATTATGGCAACAGATCTTTGATTTTAATAAAAATTGCGTATTTTTTTTACGCGCGTCTCGCATAGAAGGATTATTACCGCCAAGAATCACGCATTCAATTTCAGAGTCTGTGAAAATTTCACATTTTGAAAATTATGGATTTCAGATAAATTCGTCACAACTGAAGTAATTAGTGTGACTGAGCTGATCACTATTGACTGAAGTGCTTCGTCACGATTGAAGTGATTATTCAAAAGCTCGATTCAGAATTTGCGGATCATTATAATCTATAAAAATGAAATCAAAATTTTTAAGACTATGTGGAAATTATCAATTGTTGAAATTAAAACCAAGAAAACCAGGAGGACAATAAAACCAATTCAAAATTTCCCGTGTGTGATATTGTAGGATTAAAACACCATGAAAATCTTTGGCAATAACTGACTAAACTGATACTGTAAATTCTCTTGGAATTGCGGATGAATCATCAATAATTGAGTAGGACATGCACAATTCGTAGTTTACCGAGTGAAATATCGTATTAAAACATTAGGATTTTAATAACCAAGTGAAAATCCATTTTAATAAGTAGTTGAAAAAAGGATCCACAAAACCTTGCAGATTTACCGTGGAATCATCGCTAATCGAGTGGATTGAGAAATTTTTACTAACTGAAATGTATGATTCGGAATTAACGGTATGTTATAACGGCTTATTAAAACATTGAGATTTTATAAACCATGTGGAAATCTGTAACAAAAACTTCGGAAATAGCTCGACCACACAAATTACTCGGATTTATACGCTGATGATTGTAATTGACGTTAATTATCGCCTATTTCTTGTTTTTTTATTTTTAAGTAAGGATGCTTGTTTAACGTAAATACCTATTATATGAAAAATTTTTTCTTCTGAACTTACCAAAGTCCTAATGATTCTATATATGAGACTTTCCACTGTATTTATTAAAACATCGACTGCCATAGGGGTCACCGACGACCAGTGAAGCTAAGATTTTTAGAAACACATAATTCGAGTAAATTGATTATATATATATATATACTAAAATCGTTTGAAAAAATTAATACAATATAGGACACACAAAAATCATTTTGGCCAGACTGCCAGCCATGTAAAATTAGCGTGGCATTCAACGTGTTAAACAGTATTATTTTTGTGCTTATAAGTTTACGTTATGCCTAAAAACTTGTTAAGCTAAAATTCCAAAGTTTGAAAAGTAGTTTTGTATTGATAATGCATTTTTGATAAAAAAGAAATCTTGTCCGGAGTATTTTAAATTATAAATATTTATACTTTGCATACTTTGAATAGAAATTATGTTATGTATTTTGTTGGTTTTTCTACTTGTTTTAATTATTTTGAATCAACTTGGGGCTGAGTTGAATATTGAGGCTATGCGATAAGAGCTTCGATTCTATCAATCAATGAAACTTTATCCACCACAAAATTTGTGAACTACAAATAGTTTGTGGTCGCCCCCCTTTTACATGGTGGACGCTACAAGACTTCTCCATGTAAAAGGGGGTCTCAGGCGATGTGAAGACCACCCATAGGGTAAGCACAGAGGAAGATAAGAATTGATAGATATATGAAGATTTAGAATGAATTATCTTTCAATTTGCATTATAACATTTCTTCTAATTTGTTTTTGTGGAGTATATAATTTCATTGTGGAACAAAAAACTTGTGTGCAGGCCTCCTGTGTGACACATTCGTAGTCGATACTTGCATGCTCATTAACTGAGTATTTACCTAAAATATGAATTGTTACTGAAATTTAAGCTTGTTTACTTGGTAAATTTTTATGTCATATTCTTTAACATTAAAGTTAAAATTATCGTTTAAATGATGCTATTCTTTATTGGTTAGATATCATTTTAAGAGAATAAGCAAGGTGACACTTCAATGTATAAAGATTAGTTACTTAATTGGTAAACAATAAATCACGTTATCCACTTGATCATATCCACTTGATCACGTTAAAATAATCATAAAGTTCTAATTTTTATGGTTGCATTTGTCTTTTTAATATTAATTATGCTGTTTAATTTAAGCATCTTGAGTTTTGCTTCTAAAAAGAAATGTCCTATGTTATCTATGCGAGAAAATGTCACGGTCACTGAAAGTCTCAGGCTTTTTAAATTTTTGAGGTTGGCAAATCTGTTATGTATTCAAATGCCATTTTCTTACATGTGAAATGAAGGATTGTCAAAAAATGGAATCTATGCAATGTTGACAGTTTTTACTATAAATTATTGTTTAAGATGTCTTAAAATTTTATAAAAAAAGTTATTAGCAATTAATTTTATTTGATTAGAAAAGAATATTGCGTAAGTGAGGAATATTTAGAAATTATAATATAAACATTAATGGAATTCAGAAATAGCTGCTGTTAACCTTGTTGTTTCCCTCTTTTGTGAAATACCCACTGTAAATAGAATCTGGATAAAGTCTTTCAAAACATGCATAGTGAAATTGTATGAATCAGTAAAAGCATTTTAAAAAATCAATCAAATTAACTAATAATTTAGACAGATTCTGTCTTGTCTTACTGCAACTTGTCTTACTCACTGAAGTCTCACTGCAAGAATTGTGAAGAAAGTTGCACCATATTTTAGCAATATGCAGGTATACAAAAATAATCGCCTGATTCAAAAAGACGAGTAAGTAGCGACAAATTCAAATTCAATGCAATTTTCTTCTTCAGCGCATGGCATGCGACGTTGATCATACGGGCACAATAACTATGAATGTATGTCGTGCGGCGCCAACAGATAAGAGGTTAATGAAGCCACCAAATGGGAAAAAAATGTTTCTAAAGGGTACTTTGCATCCACTGTCTTCTATTTTAGTTTTTTTTTTCAGTTCAGCTGAAGCTGGCACTTACCTTGTTTTGTGTCTTGTGTTGATGTGACTTATGAATTTTTATACGAAATTTAATTGTATTTGTTTCCTAGGTTTTTGCTTCTTAATTCTGGGAAGTTTGCTAATGTAGCTGTGAATTGGGGATCCAACTCATCTGTGCTAATTCTTCTAAACTGAGTATGTATTTGCATTATAAATTACTCAAGTAAAAAGTACATTAATGTCATTAATTTGTGATTGTACTATGAAATAGTTATTATTTAAAAAAATATTTTTATTCCAAATGTATTTATTATATTAATTTCAAAGTAAGATTATTTGTTTGCTTTTCAGCAACAAAAAAAAAACAAAAAAAAAAATTAAAAGGACAAATTAAACTTTAAAAATTAAATATTAACTTATAAAAAATTGCATCTAAGATTATCAGATACTTTATGATTAGCTGGGCGCAAGTAAGTTATGCTATTTGTTTTGTTGTTTTTCTTTATTTTGGGAGATACATTTTGTTTTGCATTAAAAAAAATTATGATGAAAATAGTTAAACTTACTTTCACTCAGCTAAACATAAAGTAGGGATTATTATAACCTTGGTTTGAAACAGTAAGTTATAAATTATCTGGATGTGATTTCAAAAAAGTTGTGAAAGTTGTAGTCAATGAAGTAAGTCTAGTCTTCTTTTTAGAGATAGTCTGTTTTTTTCCCTGTTGTTATTCTTTGTTCAGTGTTTTCATTTGTTTATAATTTTTTTATGTTAATACAACCATATTTGTATTTCTTAATTTATGTTCCCTTGCTTGTTAAAAATTAAGTTTTCTGTATAAATTACTTTTAGTTCTTAATCTTGAATGATCTCTCTTTAACTTTTTTTAACTCTATTAATTAACTATAAGACTGAGTTTTAAAATTTTTTCTTGTGCAAAGTATTGTTTCTACCGAGATTTTGTATACTTAATTTGTGTATTATAAAGTTTATGTGTAAGACAATCAGCTACATAAATCTTGTTTGTTACAAAATGATATATTTTTGATAAAAAATAAATTTTATTGCTAATTGGTTTGAAAATATATTTCTTATTGAATTCTGCAGAGGTGATTGTATTCCAGGTTTTTTTGCATCTTTCCTCTGGGTTTAAGAATTCGTGATTTCATGAGCAGGGCTAGTGATTTTTCTGCAAATATTGCATCCTGTCTCAAGTCCATTTGTTTGTGGGTTTCCATGAATTAAAAACTTATAATCCAAAAAAATTTTGAAACTTTTGCTAAACAAAATGTTTAAATAATTGCAGTTTTTCTGTAAATTGATTCTTTTCGGTTTTGTTTGGCAGATTTTCACCATTTTTGAATATTTGTAACTGTGCTAATATCACGATTTTTATTCACATGATTTTAATTTCAAACATAGATTTTCGTATTTACCTGATTAAAAGTTATGCTTTGCGACCCATATTCACTCAATTTAAAAGTCGCATGTCGCTATTCCTGTTCAAGCAACTTGTATGCACGCTTTTTTACAATGCAATGTCGCGATTTATCTTAAAACGTTTTTAAAATCCAATATAGCGATTTATATTCACATGTTTTTAAAATCCAGTATTGTGATTAGTATTTATGTATTTTTTTTTTTTCAAACAAACAAATATAACTTTATTGAGAACAAATCGTGTAATCGATTTGTAATATCAAACATCAATTTTTGTATTTATCAATGATTTAAAAACTATGCATTGTGATTCGTATTCGTGCAATCTTAAAATTATGCAGTGATTCGTATTTACATGATTTAAGAATTCAATATCGTAATTAGTGTTTTTGAAGTCCAGCATGTCTATTCATATTCACACGATTTTTAAATACAATATTGAGATTTTTGTGAGAAGTAAGTTTGTTTCTTGATTTATTTACTATAAAGTTATGATATTCTTTATTAGTAGGTAATTTAATTATAAATGTTAGATATGAAAATGAAATGTTAGATTATCATTTATGTATAAGCTATTTTCGTTCAAATCATTTTTAATGTTTTCAAGATTATTTGGCTTTATGAGTAATGTATTTTTATCAAAAATTCAACCACTTTTTATATTTTTAGAAAGCTTTTATTTTCCTATGCTCATTAGGTTAAAAATTAAAGTTTCAGCAATCTCAAGTCAGTTAACTTTTTTTAAAAATATATATATTGATGTAAATTTTATTTTTACCATATTTTTCTGGGAAAAAAAACGTCATGTTGTAATTAGTTGTTTTTAATGATTTCATTTATATCCTTTCATTGCTGCATAAAATTTTACGGGAAAAATCATTGAAATTTTTATTTTAAAATTTTATTAGATTTCTTACTAATGGATAAAATGAAATATTTTTGAATTTTATGAATATTTTTTATTCAAATAAAATGTTCCTTATTTATTCATTGGTTAATTGCTTAAAGTTATTTACAAACTATTTTTTTGCTAGATATTAGTCCCTTTTGATACTTATTGATTGCTAAAGTAGGTAAGTTTTGGGAAGTATCTTAAAGAATCTGAAAAGAACATCAGGTATGTATTATATCATTGTTATACAAAATTAATGTCAAACTATTGTACAATATTTGTAGAACATCACCTTTAAGTCACTTGTATCTATTTGATTGATGAATAAAATAGTGTGTTTTTATTTATTTATTTCTTATTTGTGTCTTTCACATTACACATTCATTAAAATTATTGTTTTAGGTTTGTTTAAATTTAAACAATTAATTAGAGTACTTTGACTTTGGATACATAGATTTTAATTAAATAATTAGATAGCTTTTTAAGCTTATTTTCATTAAAGAAAGTTTTTAACATTTTATCCATAGTGGCAAGGGTCTGTCTAGGCCAAATTTACTACCGTTTAGCGGTACCTTCACAAATTCAACTTCAGGCAAAACGGTGGTTTCACAAAATACTTTTTCCTAAAATTTTATTTTTGTATCCCGTAAGAAATGATAAATTCATATTTTGACCATATTTTTGTGTTGATTTTTTAATATAATTTTTAATTTTCACAAATTATATCTAAAATTTCACAAAATAGGTACCTCTCGGAAAAACCTAGACAGACCCCTGAAAGGAGTTTTCAAGTAAGTGAAATATCAATTGAATTGAAATGGGATTGCTTTCATGTAATCTCATGCATAACATATTATAATACTGTAGAAATTATAGCAAAGGAGAAAAAACTTTTAGTTCTGAATACAATTTATTTTTATTTTAAATTGCTATGAATATACAAATAAATTTTGATGCATTAAACATTGATATAAATCATAATAGCAGTTGAGACATCCTACGAATAACATTTTGACTTGTAAAACAGTAAGTATGTATTATATTTTTGATATAAAGAATACGCTAATTGAAAGTACACTGACAATCTAAGCATTTATCATAGTTTTGTTTATGTTATATTTTCTATTTTAATTATTACGATTGTAACCTTATTAGTAATGTAATATATGAATTATACGAATTGTAACATAGTGATTAGCTTTGTAAATTGTGCGCTTGTAACCAATATTACTGTTGTAATACTTTAATTAAAAACTATTTATGTAAAATGCTCAGGTTTTTATTGTCCTTGATAATAAGTTTGGCTATAAGTTAAAATGCTACTGTGCTATTCATGGAATGTCCCAGATTTTTATTTCGACAAAATAACTCCTAACATATTTTGAAGTCGTTTTTTGAGATTTTGTTATAATTTTGAATGCTTCAACTTTTCTTTCTCTGCATTTCATTTAAATATTATTTATAATAGAGAGGCAATTTTTAAGTTCATGATTTCATTATTATTCTTTACGTGATTCATTTATAGTTATTTAATGCCATGAGTCAGTCTGAATTTCCAAACAAATAAGTAGATTGGTTATTAAGGTAAGATGCTGATTCATTCTTTTTCTTCCTATCAGATATGACTATTTTTATTACATTGCAAATTTTGTTCCAAATAACTATTACAAAATGATTGCATGATGTTTAGTGTCAAAATAAAATGTTACTCACTGTTTTTTTTTTAAAAATAGTAGTTCTTGAAGTGTTAAATGATATAAAATAGAATTTTTTACATTAATTTTTATATGCACAGCAAAGGAGTCTTATCTGCTACTTGCAAATGCTGTATATGATGTCTAGTCACATGAAGCAAATAAGCATTTAAAAAAATATTGTCTATTATAAAATTTTTACAATTCGTTAATGGGATTCAGTTGCAAATTAAACTTAATGTGGGAACAACTCTTCTCTTTCACCTTTGACTTTCTTAATATTTCATTATGATTATATTAATAAAAAATTTTAGCAAATAGTGAAATTATACCCTGAATAATTTTTTTTTTTTTTGAATAATGGTTGAAAATGTTTTAATTTAGTGCTTTGTGAGAATTCTTGTGGACTACTGTTCCATTTGGAAATCCTTGCATTAATATGAAGTATTGAGCAGTTCATTTATGAAACATAGTGAAAATACATCTTTCACAAATCTCATAAAGTTGACCATGTTCAGTTTCAATGCCGTTTTTCTAAGTGATAAGGCTGTTTAATAAAAAAAATTTTTTTGTATCTAACCTAAATTTGAAAAATCAACAAAATCTTTTTGAATTTTCTTTATGAAATAATTCAAGAATACAATTCATATTGAGGTATTTTCTATCTTTATTGTATACAACGAGGATTTAGAAAAAAATGTTTACAATAAATTGTTAAAATTATTCATCTTTTACCAATTAAAAAATAATAAATGCAAAACGACAGTTTTCATTGTAAATTTATTTTGCTCCACTGTTTGAGGAAAGATAGAAAATTATTAAAATGTCTTACAAAAATTGTCGATGGTAAATTTTCCATCTTCAGAAATTACAGGAAATTCTAAATCAGATTATTTTGATAAATGATTAAATAAATGTGATAAATGAGTATTATTTTGATAAATGATAATGTAGTAACTCAATTTTTTTGCTAAGTTTAGGAATTCCATAAATTTAATAAAGCAGCATGAGAAAATAGTTACAAAATTTCTATGTATTTGAAATATTTTCTAAAAGTTTTTGAGATTGCAGGAAAAAATTGTTCTAAATTTCTCTGGAACAAATAGAAAAATTAATATCCCTGAGCAATTAATCCATGAGAAAAAGTATTGAAATTGTTTTGAAATCATGCCAACAAAATTCATCTACTAAAATAATAGTTTATGTATATAATAATAATCACTTTTAATGACATGGTTCAATAGCGTGGTTTATTTATTCATTTAAGAATGGCATGCATAAGTTTTGCTTCTAGGTTAAAAAAATAAATAAATAATTGGGACCTGCCACATTGGCGGACTAAAACAGAATACAGTGAAACCATTAGAAGTTGTCCACATACGCGGTGCGTCGCGTATGTTGTCAACTTATAAAAGAAGATAAATCTTTTTTTTTATCATTCCATATGTCTTATACTTATGATCAATCAAAATGGAAATAAATTTAATTAATGAAACAATCCTTTACATTTTCGTTTAGCTTTACAATAAGATTAATTATGTAGCCTAAGCTTTATATTAAATTAAATTGTTCAAAAAAAAGAAAAAAAGGCATGAAAAGAACTTATCTAAACGTTTCTATGCTATCGAATTTAGTAATTTCATTTTAATTTGAAGATCACAATGGGAAATACTAATGCAAATTTTTTTATTAATACATGTCTTTACAATTATTTGTTCGATACATTACTAGAAAAAGTTTTTTCCCAATGTTTTTGGCAATTTATTTTAATAATTTCGTAAAGACATCGAAAATATTGAGTAACTAGTAATTTATTGATTGGAACTAAATACATAATAAAAGGTTTCAAAATAGTTAAAAAAAATGTTTAATAAAAGTTCTACCTCCTGGAACCCCTTTAAATCTTCCACGGAACTCCGAGGTTCCGTGGAACACCATTTGAGAACCATGTTGTTCTAGAAAATCGAGGTCAACTTCCAAGGGGGATCAACTTGCGAGGTATTATAAAAGTTTAAAAAAAAATCGTTAATAAATGTTCAAGTCACACTAGAGCTGCACAATGGGCTATTGGCGACAGTCTGGGAAACATCCCTGAGGATGATCTGAAGACATGGCATCGTAATTTTAAAAAATTATATAGACGATAAATAACAATTATTAAGTCCATTCGAGAATCGCTGCTCTAGATAGTATAGGTCAACTTGTAAGGTATTAAAAAAGTTTAAAAAAAAATCATTAAAAACGTACATAAATGTTCAAGTCTGTTACTTAAGATTTTACTTCCAGTATTAGAGTACAATTTACTTTACAACAGAGGACTGTTATTACATGCTTTACATAAATGTGAAAAGGGACATTAAATATAGTAATATTTGTAACATTCTGTTAGATTTAAAAATTATTAATACAAACATGATTTTTGCATACTAATCGCATGGTTAAATTTTTAATTATTTTTTTCAAGAATGGTTAGAGTAGGTTAACACTGAGTTTACGGACGTTTCTTATATACCTACCTCTACGAACACGCGTCAATTTGACGCATGAACGAATACATATAACAGCACCTTAGAAAGCAATGTAATTATATACTGTAAGAAAAAAAAATGAAAATATGAGATGTATATTTATGGAAAGTTTTTATTATTCAATAATTTTATTATACATTATTTCAATATTATACATTTATTTCGCGTATCTTTTACACAAATACTCAATTTTGTTTGTAAACTTTCCGCAAACAACCTTTTCACATATTTTACAGGTGTTATTGCTCCTGTTTCTTTTACAAAAGCCAATTTGGCAAGTCTTGCGTTCTCCCGAAGTACTAGATGGTGGGTGATTATAATCTTTGTTTTTGTATTTTTTCTTTTCTCCTTTTGCAAGTTCTTTGGCCAACTGAAATAGAAAATCCTTTCTGGATAATTTTGAAACAGTACACTGTGTTTATTGGCAACAGTTGTTTATCGCTTGTTTCATTTGAGATCACGATATCGGATAACGGATCGAAGTATTGTCGGTACATTCCTATATATTATTGATGTGATGTTTGCATGTTTACTCAAAATTTTGTCTAAATTACGATCGCTTCAAATTGACGCATATCCATAGAGATAGGTATACCACAAAGAGAATTTCAATATTTCAACGCTTTTGAAGAGAATAGACTTCAATATATACGTATTTACCTCGATCAATGGATAAAAGTCATTACAAGAGATAAAATAAAAATGCAAATGGGTTTTGTAATTTTTCTTATAAAATTTGAAATGCGTCAAAATTACACGTCCCGTAAACCTAGTGTTAAAAACGTGAATAAAAGTTCAAGTCTGTTATTTAACAATTTACTTCCAGTATTAGACTACAATTTACATTACAACAGACGACTGTTACTACATGCTTTATATCGATGTGAAAAGGGTAATTAAATATTGTTAAATTTGTAACATTCTGTTAGATTTAAAAATTATTAATACAAACTAATTTTTGCGTACTAACTTCATAACATAAATCTTAATTAAAAAGGTTTTTTTTTTCGGTTCTTTTAAGAATGATTAGAGTAGGTTAAGAATAAATCAAAAATTTTTCCTAGTTTACTATAATGCCATTTTTATCCTGGTTGTTATTCTCTTAAAACCAGAATGGGATGTTGATCACTTAAAAAGACTACTAACTTCACTCTATAGGTAAGTTTTTATTACAAATTTTTTCTAGGTTATCCTGATCGAATAAGCAGAAGTTTAAATAATATCAAAAAATAAGATTTTTGGAAAAATTATTTTTATAAAATTGCGGTGTTCAAATAAGGTAATTTTTAAGACGCTCAATTTCCATCTTGCTTCTTTATAAAGAAATTTTATAAGATATCATATTGATAATTCACATTTTATTTTAGGAGAAATAAGAAAAATAAGTAGAAAATGTGTACCCTGAATCATTTTCTCGGTATCCAATTTAGGATACTAATTCTCAAGAAATAGAAAACTTTGAACATATAATTATAAATGGCAGTCTTAATTCGTTATAATACCTTAAATTCTGTCTGTTTTCTGATCCAGAATTTCTCTGCAGTTTTTAAAATTTTTTTTAAAGATTTTAGTCCAACAATGGGTTATGAAATTCTTCGTTTTTATCAATTTCTAGTTCACGTTGAATATTCATATATATATATAATATAATATAGACTTTTTACGATAGTTCGCAAAAAATAAATTTAAGTGAAAACATTTATGTAAAAATAAAATGAGCATAGATGATGACAAATTAATTAAAATAAACGGTAAATTATTCAAAGGTATTTCAACATTTTTATGATCAAAATATAGGTTACAACTTATGAGAAATTATACAAAGATATCATTAACCCCTTAACGATCGGTTAATTTTCAAGAAAACGGTCATAAAACTGACTATTTTTTTTATCCAATCACAATTACACGTATTTGATTAGTGCTGGCATTTAGTTTGAAATAAACTAACTATCTACAGTTACATTAAAAATATCTTGATACTGCCATCTGGTGTGTAGAATGAGAAATAAAATGTTTTCTGGGGAAAAGAAATGAATTACTTTTATTCTTATTACCTCGTTACTACTGAACACTCCAGCCCGGAAATATCACGGGAGCGAGAAATTGAGGGCGAAACCTCACCCCATCATTTTCACGAGAGCTAGAAGGAAGGGGTGAAAATGTAAATCATATTTCTTCTCTAAGAAAGCTTCTTAAATAATAAGGAAATAATTTGAAACTTAAAAAGGGTTATTCGAATTAAAATTAGTAAATTAGTAAAAATTAGTAAAAAGGTACGACGATTTGGAAACTTTCAAAATTACCCCCCCCCAAAAAAAAAACTCTGTTTTTTAACTGAATTTTATTTTCTTTCCTTGCAACTTAAGCTGCAAATACTCCCATTTATTTAAACGAAATTAAGAATTGTGATTGCCATTCCAATCTAAATTAACTGTTTCAAAACAGGAAATTGTTGAAAGTCTCAATTCATCCTTAATTTGCATCAAATTAAAAACTTTAAATTTTTATGTTGAAAAATCATTTTTTGATTTGCTCCAAAAAATTAATTTCTGTTGTTAATTTTAATTCATTTTGTATTTTGTATGTAATTCATTTTGTAATTTTAATTCTTATCACTATTCCAGCTGAGGTAGAATTATCCCTCATGAAGTATAAAGCTGTTGCTCTAAACTATCTCTGAAAAAAAAAATTCGGTTCCAAATTAAACAATATCACACAGCCTAGAATCATAATATCGTATAAGGATTAAATTTTCAGATTTTACATAGCATAAACTGTTTCCTTAAACTTTAAGGCTGTTTAAGCTTCAGAGTGCAAGCGCGAAAATTTCCCCACAATACGCTAAGGGATTTAAATACAGCGTTGTGGGTAACGTAAGATAAACGCTTTGCAAAAGTTCTCAATTATGGTTCATTTTGGCACCGTGTCAAGATACTTGCAAATTTGAACGATGCTGCAGTTTAGGTTTCCAAGCAAAAGACATTTTGTTATATCATTGCAATTTCACTCTCAATAACTTTCTTTCATTTGTTAATTTTAAATCTCACTTGGCATTTTTTTAAAAAAAAATCATAAGCTGATGTGGTAAGATTATTTTTTTTTTATGCTTAACGAACTTGTTACCTAGTTAATTTCTTAAACTTAAAAGATTATACTATTAAATTTTTAATTTACAAGAAATGCAAATTAAATTGACTTAATTGTGACTACCGCTTTTTGAGTGCAAAAATAGTTATACAAAGAGTTAATTTTCGATTTTTAAAAATTGCTAAACAGATTAACTTCTAGACTCCAGCGAGCGGAAAATGGTAAGAGACTGAACAAAGTTGTACCTAACAATAAAAAGTAGGTGTGTTATTTATTTTATTAGTTCTTAATCTTATTACGTCTATAGGTGGCTTACGGCAAAACTCTCTATAGTGCGGCT